TACAAAAGGATGAAGGCTATTGCTGAGCACATTGTAAGCCGCCCTGAGTCTTCGGAGAAGGGCGGCATATAAATCAAATTAAAAAAAAAAAAAAAGCTCTGCCTTTCAACAATTCTTTCATTTTTCATTTTTTTCGTTTATTCGAATTTCTATACCGCCCTTCTCCTTTCGGACTCAGGGTGGTGAACAGCCAGATAAAAAACATCTATACAAACATCACAGTTAAAAAATAAAGTTAAAATAATTTATAAATTTGGCCCATAATTTAAAACTTGTCAATTAAAATAAATATTAAAATTTTAAAACTAACCCTAAAATCAGGACAGACCGGCTAGCTGAAAAAAATAAGTTTTTAGGGCCCGACGAAAAATCCGGAGGTCGGAGATCACTCGTATCTCTGGGGGTAGATTGTTCCATAGGGTAAGTGCAACCACAGAGAAGGCTCTCCTCCTGGGGGTCGTCAGCCGGCATTGTCTGGCCGATGGCACCCTGAGGAGGCCCTCTCTGTGGGAGCGAACCAGCCGGTGGGAGGCTATTGGTGGCAGAAGGTGGTCCCGTAAGTACCCTGGCCCTAAGCCATGGAGCGCTTTAAAGGTGATCACCAACACCTTGAAGCGCACCCGGAAGTCCACCAGAAGCCAATGCAGCTCGTGCAGGAGAGGAGTCACATGGGAGCGCCCCGTCGCTCCCATAATCCCCGCGCAGCCGCATTCTGCACCAGTTGGAGCCTCCGGGTGCACCCCAAGGGGAGCCCCATGTAGAGAGTGTTACAATAGTCCAGACGAGAAGTGACGGGTGCTTGAGTGACCGTGCGTAGGGAGTCCCGGTCCAGAAAGGGGCTCAACTGGCGTATCAGGCAAACCTGACAAAAAGCCCCCCTGGCCACGGCTGTCATATGCCCTTCTAAAGACAGCTGCGCATCCAGGAGGACACCCAAGTTGCGGGCCCTCTCCGTGGGGGCCAATGATTCGCCCCCAATAACCAGCGATGGCGTCAGCTGGCTATACCGGGACGCCGGCAGCCACAGCCACTCGGTCTTGGAAGGGTTGAGTCGAAGCCTGTTTCTCCCCATCCAGACCCGCACGGCCTCCAGGCACTGGGGCATCACTTCCAAGGCATCATTGGGATGGTCTGGGGTGGAAATGTACAGCTGAGTATCATCAGCGTACTGATGGAACTCCACCCCAAAACCACGGATGATCTCACCCAGCGGCTTCACATAAATGTTGAATAGGAGGGGCGAGAGGACCGACCCTTATGGCACCCCACAAACAAGGCGCCTTGGGGTCGACCGCTGCCCCCCTGTCAACATGGATTGCGACCGGAGAGATAGGAGGAGAACCACCGCAGAACAATGCCCCCCACTCCCAGTCCCTCCAGCCGGCGCAACATGATACCATGGTCGATGGTATCAAAAGCCGCTGACAGGTCTAATAGGACCAGGATAGAGGAATAACCCCTATCCCGGGCCCTCCAGAGATCATCCACCAACGCGACCAATGCCGTTTCCGTGCTGTACCCAGGTCTGAAGCCGGACTGGAGCGGATCCAGATAGACAGCTTCATCCAGGTACTGGGGAAGCTGTCGCTCCACCACACTCTCAACAACCTTCGCAATAAAGCGAAGGTTGGAGACTGGACGATAGTTAGCCAAAATAGCCGGATCCAGGGATGGCTTCTTGAGGAGAGGCCTCACCACCGCCTCTTTCAAGGTGGCCGGCAGGACACCCTCGCTCAAAGAAGCGTTAATAATCCCCTGGAGCCAGCCTCGTGTAACCTCCCGGGAAGCCAGCACCAACCAGGAGGGACACGGGTCCAATAAACATGTGGTTGCGTTCAGTCGTCCCAAGATCCTGTCCACGTCCTCGGGAGCCACAGGATCGAACCTCCCCAGATAACACTCTCAAGGCCTGCCTCAGTCATCTCGTCTGAACTAACCCAGTTGGCGGCCAAGTCTTCCCGAATCTGAGTTATTTTATCATCCAGATACTGTACAAAATCCTCAGCTCGGCCCTGCAAGGGGTCCTCCCGCGCTCCCAGATGGAGGAGGGAGCGGGTCACCCTAAACAGGGTGGCTGGGCGGTTATCTGATGACGCGATAAGAGCGGCAAAATAGCTAGATTTCGCTGCTTTTATCGCCACTAGGTAGGTCTTAATATGAGACCTTACCAGTGTCAAGTCAGACGCGGAACAACTGGCCCTCCAACCGCTCTCTAGGCATCTTTTCCGGCACTTCATCTCCCTCAGCTCCTCGGAAAACCAAGGAGCTAAGTGAGTTCAGTGCTGGGTCAGAGGCCGCAAAGGCACGACCCGGTCCAAAGCCCTGGCAGCCGCCCTATCCCAGGCGGCCACCAGGTCATCAGCCGAGTCATGAGCTAGAGTCTCAGGAAATGGCCCAAGCTCCATCTGGAACCTATCAGGGTCCATCAGGCGCCTGGGGCGGAACTACCTGGTCGGTTCCGCCTCCCTGCGACAGGGTACGGCGGTCAGAAAGTCAAGTCGAAGGAGTGAGTGGTCAGACCATGACAAGGGTTCAATATCTACATCCCCTATATCAAGGCCACTCAACCACTGACCAGAGATAAAAACTAAGTCCAGAGTGTGTCCCCCCATATGAGTAGGGCCGTGAATTACTTGGGTCAGGTCCATGGCCGTCATGGAAGCCATGAACTCCCGAGCTACCTCAGATGTTTCACCGATGGATGGCAGGTTGAAATCCCCCATGACCACAAGTCTGGGGGTATCAGCCGCCACCTCGGCTATAACACTGAGGAGCTCGGGCAGGGTCGTTGCCACGTGGCAGGGAGCCAGGTACGTGATCAACAGACCCATCTGCGCCCCACGACCCCACTTCACAAAAAGGGACTCACATCCGGCTATCTGAGGTACAGTGGTCTCCCTCGGATCAAGACCTTCTTTTAGAATGACCGCCACCCCCCCGCCCCTGCCCTGAGCTCTCGGCTGATGAAATGCACGGAAGCCTGATGGGCACATCTCCACGAGGGGAACTCCCCCCTCATGGCCCAACCAGGTCTCCGTGATACCTGCCAGGTCCGCTCCCCCCTCCTGAATAAGATCACAAATGAGGGGGGCTTTATTTACCACGGACCTGGCATTACATAACATCAGCCGGAGACTCGGGCGCTGAGACTCTAAGCAGCCTGGGGAATGGGAAGAGCTAAGGGGACCGGGGCACGCAATCGCTGGGAGATTGATATGGCCCCCTGCTCCCGCCATACCTGCCCCTCCCACTCAGCGTGTTAATAGAGAAGCCCTCACTAGACGGCATTCTAACAGTCCCCTTTCCCCCAGAGTCCGCACCCCCTACGGCACCATTAATAGCAACCAGACTGGTCTGCAACCCCCGTGGGTTTTCCCCCAAACCCACATAACCTCCCCCACCCTCAGAACCCCTTAAAAGTCTATTTAAAAAAGTCTTTAAAAAACCCCTCAATCCCCTTTTTGCGACATGCCACCTCTCGGGGTCCCAAGATCCGTCATTAAGGTGGGCCCTCGATAACATAGAGGGCCAGGCCTGCGAGAGGGGGGAATCTCGCAGCGCAAGAAGCTTTGCCCTAGAATACATTTTAACACTAGAGTGATAATACAAGTTTGGCCTAGACATGGCCTAGGGGTCTATAAGGATGGTTTCAGATGTCCAGGAAGCAAGACTAAGTTAATCGGAAGAGTCACCATTACCCTCTCACGGTAATGGGTAGGAGTCCTCACATTCAGTCCAGCTGAGGGAAACTATCCAACCACCCTCTCACGGTGGTTGGCCATCCTAATCAAGGCAAGATGGAAAAAGTCGGAAAAAGTCCGAAAACTCACCCTCTCAATTCTTAAAGGGAAAGGCTTCTTTTTCCTTCCGACAGGAGTAGCATCTCAGCCTCTATCTATAAACAAGCAAAAATTAAGATAGTTCTATGCAAAATTAATTGTATCTGGACCTTGGAGTTTGAAATGGGAGGGTCATGAAAGAGGGAGCCTTGAAAATTTGAAACAATCTTTGACCAAGGCTCCTGTATTAAGTTTACCAAACTTGGAAAAGCCATTCAATCTCTTTGAAAACACACACACACACACAAATGAAACAATTTTAATGCAGCAGACTTGATTGTAACTACAGATCACAATTTGAATCAAGCACAGTTCTTAGCCAACACCAGATCAATGGATCAGTTTGGATTAGAACATTATGGTGCTGAAGTGATTGATTTACAAACAAAAATAAGATCTGATTTGGAGGAACACCCCCTGGAGAAAGGAGAAGCAATTTGTATAAATGGTTCCTCTAGGGTGGAAGGGGGAGTATGGAAAAATCCTGGAAACAAGGGGTTTGCCTCGAAATTGGTCTGCTCAAACCTTTGAATGGTATTCATTAAATTAAGCTCTATGGACAGGGAGCCTGGATAGCTCAGTAGACAAATGCATTGTAATTTAACACCAGCTGTCTGCACTTACTGTCAATTCGAATCTCACCAGGCTCAAGGTTGACTCAGCCTTCCATCCTTTCTAAGGTAGGTTAATTGAGGACCCAGTTTGTGGGGGCAATAAACTGACTTTATGAAGGCTATTGCTTAACGCATTATAATCCTGAGTCTCCCGGAGAAGGGCGGCACATTAAAAAAAAAAAAAGGGAGGGGGGATGCTGGAGACTGTATGCATTTGGGATAGTGCATTCATTTGGCAAAATATGGGTGGAGTCATTGGGGAATTCAAGCTATGTAGATGAACTTTTAAAAAGCTATGGTTGTATTGGGATATATCCTTTAGTAACATCAATTATAAACAAATGTTTGATTTGTAAAAAGGTGAATGAACAAGCTGTCAGGAAACAACAGATGGGTGGGAGACCACCAGCTTTAAGACCATTTCAATGTATTCATGTGGATTTTACAGAATTGCCAAAAGTGAGGAGAGTAAAATATTTATTGGTCATAGTGGACCACCTCACAGAGTGGGTTGAAGCTTTTCTCTGCAGTAATGCTACAGCAACAGTGGTGTCAAGAGTTTTATTATACCCAACCTAGAAAGATTATCATCATATGAACTGTTGTTTGGAGTAGTTTTCACTACAAGAAGCATATGCATTAATTTCCTGGAAACCAGAGACAAAGTATTGAAACAATATGTGTATAAACTGTCCAGATATTTTAAAGTTTTTAGGAAACAAGGACTATTAGCCCAAACACCACCTTTGAAGTTTCCAGTCCATAAATTCCACCACGATGATTGGATGCTGCTGGAAGGAAGTTAAACCCCAAGTGAACGGGCCCGTGCCAGAGGAGTGGAAGGTGGAATCTCACCAAGGAGATACATTGAAGTTGATGATCCAAAGGATCCAAGGGACTGGTGGGCAGTAACCAGTGGGAATAGCGTTCTTCATCATCTGGACTATTTTTGTATTTTTTTCTTTCTTAGGATTGAGTAGGTTGCCTATGCTGTTTCCCAACTGAAGAGGACTACAACTGCTCAGATCCCTTTGCGCGCTCTCCCAGATGTATTGGTTTTGTAATTGTGCTTTTAAGATCTTAGGAGGACGGTCCTGGATCCACTGGACGAGACTGAAGCCCGCAGACCAAAGTGATCCAGTCACATACCAGGTGACAACAACTGACCGGCCCTTGGTGTTGAGGTTCAAGAAGAATACACCCTGCTGAGTCCTACCGGCAACGGGCTCTCAACGCACGGTGGTGATCGTCAAGCTTTGCTGAACCACCCCGGAAGCAGGTTCTCTACGCACGGCCGAAGCTTGGAATGGAGGAAGACAACATTCTATGACTATAGTTTGTAATGTAAAACCCATTAACAGTGATAGTATCCAGTAAGCACTTATTAAAAACACTCATGGTTGAGGAAGATTGGGGTGTGGGGACTCTGGGGAACAGCTACTTTAGCCCTTCTGTTGGTATTGTTTTAATACAATTGATATTGCCCTACCCCAAGTTACACATATCCCTAACCCTCTTCCTAACATGGTGAACTTGTAAACTTCGGGTCTTGCGCTCTTAAGGCCTTGTGGGTGTGGGAATAAAGTCACTATGATTTATTTGGGGTTGTGGGTACTATTAGCCAAGGGTCTAGTGAATGATGCTAGCTTGAACAGTAGTTCCCCAGGTTGTGTGGATGTTCAAGAAATTCCCCTTGTCTCTGCAGAAGGATTTGAAGATGTCAAGAATCCCAGGGGACCTAGCAGCATCAAGACACTGAATGGGGACACTTTGGGTCAAGTCCACTCCCGCCAACAACATGGCATCAGAAGGTGGAGTGGGTACCTTATTCCTAAACCAACTCCTAGACCTAAGGTTAAGAGTTTAACAATCCCGGTACAGGGGGGAATAGAAGGGCCCCTACAATAATTGAAAAGAGGAGATTGCATATCAGGGATACTGGAATTGGGTCGAAACCTTGTTAAATCATAGGGTCACCTTCCCTGTGTGTAGAGACATCAGAAACCTGGTAGGCCTATAGGATCCCTGATAAAAGAACAAGGTCCATCAGAAGTGTACCTTGGTCCTAGAATGAACCTTAGGGATGTAAAACTAACCAAAGATCTTTTTTCCTTCTGCACACCACTCACTTTCTCATCATCACCACCAGCTGCCATCATCACAAAATGGGGAGGATGGAAGAGGTCCTGGAAGGTATCCAAGGAAAGGTGCACTAGTCTGTTCCAGCCCCCTCACTTCACTATCTGGTTCTCCATTAGGTCCAACACAGGTTTATGTGTCTTCTTTCCCCCTGGGATACTACCTCCCGGTATCTTTTTGAAGGTCCAATCTTCGGAGATAAGCAAAAGGACCCTTCACTAAAAGTCCGATTACAGCCGCTGACGGGAATGTTTGTAGTGGGGGCTTTTGGGGGTCTGGACTAATGCAAGGAACAACCGAGCACATGCCTTTTCCGTAAATCTTCTTATGTGAAAGGGATGCGTATTTATGTTTGCCAACAATTGGACTGGAACATGCACACTAGTACTCCTTTTTCCTGAAATAGATGTTGTCAGTGGAGAACATACCATCCCTGTTCCTCTCATAGGGCATGTTCAGAAACGGGTACCAATCCTAGTCCCACTATTAGTAATCATGGGGATAGGAACTGCAGTGGAACAGGTGTAGGTGGGGTAACACACTCAGTAATACAGTTTCAGCAATTATCAGAAGAAAGCCTGAACCAAATTACTGGAACCCTGGTGGAAATCCAAGACGAGATAGAGTCATTGGCAGCAGTGGTCCTACAAAATCGACGTACCTTAGACCTTGTGGCCGCAGAGAGAGGAGGTATGAGAAGATTGTTGTTTCTATGTGAATAAATCAGGTGTGGTCAGAGAAGTTGCCAAGGATTTGCAGGATAGGGCATCCAAGATAAGTCAGAGGTTACAAACAACTGACAGGTGGTTTTCTTGGTTGCCTGGATCCGGCTGGATTAAACAAATGTTATTCTTGTTGATATGGCTGTGGCAGGCCTAGCTTTTATTCCTTGTGCAGGCCTAGCTTTTATTCCTTGTGCAATCCCTGTGCTGAAACAGCTATCTATCAGAGCAGTGAAAGAGATACAGACTGCGAAGGAATTAGTTTTGACAGAGCACTTTCTTGAAGAAAAAAAGTTTCTGAAACAGACACATATGTCGAAATAGGGTCTGGGAAAAGAATGGAGGGAGTACCTCCAAGGATTAATAGGGTGAAGATCAAGAAATACCTATCTCTTGCCTAGATTAGTCATATGTTGTGGGATATTATACGTTGGCTTTGTGTATTAAGGGACATAGAGTGTTGTGTAGGAAGTAATGGAAGTTTATGCATGGAAAAACTTCCACAGGGGGGAATGAGGTAAATAGCAAATAAAGAATAATGTAGATAAAAGAAATAATGTGAATAAAATAGGAATCATACAGAGTCAGATATATGGGCTCTGGGGGACCCTCTCTATTCACATTATTATAAGAGAGGAAAGTGTTTGTTGGAAATTACATTAACAAACAGTTAAACCCCTTTAAGTGGTAATATATCTTCTGAGACCTAGATGTCACGGAAAGGACTGCTATATGGAAAAACATCTGAGTGACCTGACTGTGAATGACACAAAGACCTATATGTTACAAAGAGTTACTTAATCCAATGAATTTACTCAAGGATAGTAGTAACTCTCCCATTAGCAACTCCGAGCACTTAAGAAAAGTTGTGTGGCTAAGATAATTTTGTAAACTAAGATTAATGCTTTAAGTAATTAGATGAACTTATTATACAGTGTATGTAACCATAGAAGGAAAATCAGATGTATGATCTCATGATTAACCATATATGGAAAATGTATGATCTCACTGAATCCTTTGTCTTAGAAATGTATAAAAACCATTGTATCAGAGTTCTTTCTTTGTTCAAAGCTTCAGGTACAAATCTGGCTCTGAACCTTGCGCAATAAAGCTGTCTCTGACTGACCTGGGAATGTTTTTTAGTCCTTCCATTCCACTACACATCGGCATGTCACCAAGTCGTAGTTTAATTAGGGTTTCACACTCAGCCCTAGCGCTGCTTTGCGCGGCAGAGTACTATCCTGCTTTGCCAGCTGGGTTCGCCCACATCTCCGCCTCCGCCCGCACTTGGAAACCTCCCCGCTCGCTGAGCTCCCCTGAGTCGCAACCCAGTTGCTCAGCCGCCGCTGGACAGAGCCTGGTTTGGCCCTCGTGCCCACTCTGGGGGGCAGAGCCCCTGCCTCTCCGCCCGCACTGCCCCAGCCCCCCGGTACCGGCTGGAGCTGCCCGACCGCTCCTCCCGGTTGCCGTGCGAGCGACGGTGGCATTGGCGTCTGAATGTCGCAGCAGCTTCCCGCAACTGAGCCCGCTGCCCCAACCCAGCCGGCACCGGGCTGGTGAGTGTAGTTTCACCCGCCCTACCCAACCCCGCTTTTCCCAGGCACACTCACCGCGTGGCAGGCATGCACTAAGGAGTCGGCCGCGGACGAGCGGAGTGCGCGCGGCTGAGCTGCCGCCCAGTTGTTGCTGCGCGCGAAGAAGGAGCCGAAGCGAGCCAAGCGGCGCCGGAGTCATCGGTGGGTGAGTGCTAAGGTGGGCTTCGGCCCCGCTCCCGGAGTAGGAGCGCCGAAGTTCTGCGGCAGAAAGGATCCGGAGGTGGGCGTGCTCGGAGCTGCGGCTGCCCGGGGGACGGGGGGTTCCGCTGGGTTACTCGCAAGGAAGCGCTCGCTTTTCGGGAAACGTTCAAGGGATCCCGCGGGCGCTGGATTGCAGAACCGCTCACCAGGGGAGAGCGCGGATTCTATGCGAGCGTTTAATTCGGCGGGGCGTTTCTCCAATGCAGCTGGAACGGGGAAAGCCGCGCGAGGAGATTTAGTTCCGACACCCTCCCGTCCCACCCTGGGGAAAGGCTGCTGGCCTTGACCGGTCCAGTCAGAGTGCGTGAGGGCTTGGCTTTGAGAGAAGAGCAAGACTTTTTAAATAAAAAGGTGAGAGAGGGCACAAGTTATGCGCACATGCACACCGACGATTTATGTCCTGTAAAATTATGTAGATTAAGGTGTGCATGAATTCCATGATTAGAAATATCTCGTCTGCTTCCTTGTTCACCTTTCAAGCGAGAGTTGTATTTAACTTATACAAGTAACCCTCTTTTGGGTCTGTGCATCGTATTGAATCACAGAGTTAGAAAAGTGACTGAGTTTGCAAAAGCTACTCTCCCTCAAGAAAACCAGAGTTAGCACTAATTAGCTTACTGTGACTATGCAAGTGGACCCCCAGTTTTGTCACTGACCTGGGTAGGCTCAATGTGTGAATGTAACAGGTATTGAGCTGTAAATGCTCCTTTTTTCACAACTGCAGACAAATTTGAGTTGTGGGTAGTTAGGTGTGAAACTGGAAATATCCCTCCTCCTCAATCCAGTTTACTTAACAGGGTTGTCAAGAAAACAAGTCTAGTGATAAGGTCTGGAATGAATTTGAGGCAGCAACTTGTGAAGAAGTGGACAGGGTTCTCTATACCCTTAGTTTGGCCACTGGTTGTTGCACCTAGGATTATTCCTGGATTGTTAGGTGGCCAGGGAGGAGATTCATAGTTGTGGATCCATGCAGTGGATTGGACAGTGTCTCCAACCTTCCCTTTCTAGAGAAAGTTGTCCAGATGAATCTAGACCCCTTTTAGCCAGGTTTCAGGCCAGAATTCAATATGCGAACAACCTTGGTCATGCTTGTTAATGGCCTGTAGTGGACCAGGGATGGAAGTTGTGAAATCAACATTGCACTTCTTGATCAAATGCAGGACTTGATCAAATACAGGTCCCTGACAAAATGGGTTTTGCCAGGGACCGGTAGCCAGCTCTCCCCTCCTTGAAATAAGCAGTTTCTTCATTCACACAGCATATGTTTGTAAAGTAGCCTGCCAAAGTTTTTCCCTGCATTCTCACTGGAGAGACTTTAGCTCAAAATATGAGAAGTTTGTACATCTTCACCAAAAATGGCTGATTTTTAGGGTGGTTTTTTGCCATATCTTCATTTTATGAAAATGGCTTTAATAAATCCTGATACCTGATTGTTAATATGAAGTGCTTCAAACTTAAACACAGATAAGTGATCCAGATTTCAGAATTTTTATTACAGTTATAGACCAGAGACCAGAACAATAAAACCACTCAATAAATATACAATTAAAAATTCTAGAATAAAATAATAAATAACAGACAAAATCTATAATAAAATCCAGTTTGTCAATTATACATGGTCTAACTATACTAAAATCACAATCCATAAACTCTGTGGCTCGTAATCAGTTTATTATTAAAAGGGAAAGGACTAAGCAGTGCAAAGGATCTGCCGCATTTGTTGTATAAAATAGTTATGGTAGGCTTGACGTGTTTGCGATGAATCCCCAGTGCTGCTGCGCAGAATCTAGCTACCTGCACTGTAATTTCGGACTATTCGTCCATAAGCAGCCCTTGGAGATAAATGGTGTCAGAATGGCCAGGATACCTAGCAATTATTGGAAAGATATGTTTTTTTCGAATCTCTCTGTAAAAGGAACATCAAAGGAGTATGTGATCCACAGTCTCCACCTCAAGTGATCCAGTATGTAGAAGGGCTACCAGATCAGTTGCAATATGAACAGGATAGTGGGCATGGAGTCACTGTTGAAGCCTCATCCATTTTGTGTACATTCATGGGTTTGATCACAATGCTGTGCCTGCCATCTTGCAGATTTTGACCATCTCCTTTGCCCCATATCCCTGATTAAGTGCTATACTAGCAGAGCATCTCTGTGCATCCAGTACAGCTAGTCCTCGACTTACAGCCACAATTGAGCCCAAAATTTAAGGGAAACATTTGTTAAATGAGTTTTGCCCCATTTTACAACTTTTCTTGCCATAGTTGTTAAGTGAACCACTGCAGCTGTTAATTTAGTAACACAGTTGTTAAGTGAATTTGATTTCTCCATTGACTTTGCTTGTCAGAAGGTCACAAAAAGGAATCACATGACCTTGGGACATAGCAGTGGTCATAAACATGAACCAATTGCCAAACATCTGAATTTTGATCACATGATTACAGGGATGTTGCAATGTTGTAAGCAGGACCGGATTTAGATGAAGAGAGGCCCTAGGCTATTCCAGTTATGAGGCCCTTTCACCTATAGTGAAAGTGTAATTTTAATTTTGCTAACAATTTGAATGTAGGCCCCTCTTGATCTTGAGGCCCTAGGCTGAAGCCTAGTTAGCCTATAGGAAAATCCGGCCCTGGTTGTAAGTATGAAAATGGTCATAAGTCTCTTTTTTCAGCACCATTGTAACTTTGAACATGTTAAGGATATTGTTGTTGTGTTACCAACCAGCAGAGTAAATGCACAAGGAAATGTTGCTGAGAGCAGTGAATAAGAGATATGCAAACTGGTTTATCAAAAGCTTACTTTATAGTAGAAAAACAGTCTCATAGTCTTTAAACAAATTCCAAGTCTTTGCCAGTCAAATCAGTCCAGTAGTTACAGATATCTTCATTACCAAACAAACAGCAGTTGGTTAGAATAACAAACTCACTCTGGTTCACAAACCACGATGATAGCAGATACGGCAAACTACGGTTGCTTTATATCGATCAGGTGGATGCCTTTCCCTACTAGATCTCCTAGGTAATACAGGACTTACTGCAGATGATTCATCTGACTCCTCCCCTAAAACTGCATCCTCTAAACCTACTTCCTGTTCTTCCTCCTTGATAGAGGATTTTACATCATCTAAATCCTCAGGAATATCATCAGGAATATGATGCTTTATACTAACAGTATTATTATCATATCTATAATCTGCACACACTAGTTTATCCCATCCTTCGTGCTCTAGAAATTTAGCACTTGCACTACAGTAAACACTAATAGTACCCTGTGCCCAAAATCTAAAAGACCTATGATTTGATTCATAGCCAATGAAAAACATTTTTCTGGCTCTCTGTTGATCCTTTCTCCTTAAACTAGATGGAATATGTACCCAAGCTGGGGCTCCAAATGTGTGTAAGTAACTAAGATTTGGTTTCCTCCCATGCCATAAGGTGAATGGTATTTCACCCGTAGAGGAATGAACCACGTTGTTTAACACATGGTTAGCACACATAACAGCCTCACCCCATAAATTTTCAGGCAAACCAGAATCTGCCAACATAGTTCTAGTCATGGCTTGCAATGTTTGACCTCTTCTCTCAATATACGAATTGTGCTGTGGAGCAGACCGTTTATGCTGGATCCCTGCATCCTGCAAAAACTTTTCCAATCTTTGGTTGGTAAATTCTGTACCATTATCAGTCACTAAGCATTTAACCTTAAATTTCTGTTTCCTTTCCACAAAACATAGCCAGTTGTTAATATGCTGGAATGTTTCACTTTTTGTTTTCATTAGATAACAGAATCCGTATCTTGAATAATGGTCTACTATGCTCAGAATATAGCAGGCACCTCCTATGCTGGGTTTCTTGGGTCCAATTAGGTCTATAAACACTACCTCTAATGGCTTTTTTGTTTTAAAACCATTAACATGGTTTGCTGGTGTTACCCTACTTTTTTGCTGACTACAGGCATTGCAATTTAGATATTTACTACATGCTTGTAGTTTTATCCCTTCAGATAACTGAACTGTTTTCTTTAACGTCCTGAAATTTAAATGCCCAAGTCTCCGGTGTAACAGATGAATACATTCATCATGTGGTTTAACATTCTTATAAACAGACTTAGACTTAGCCACCAATACTGGGTTATCCCTTAAAATAAATAAATCATTTTCTAAACTTGCAGTAACAACCTTGCCATCTTTCTCAATAAAACACTTATCATTTTTAAATGTTACTGTAAACCCAAATTTCAGTAATGATTTAACAGATAATAAATTGAATTTTAACCCAGGAATATATAACATAGATAATGGTTCATTACTAAATGACCAACGAGCAATACCCTCTCCAGCTACCTTAACCTTCCAGCCATTTGCTAGTTTAACATGCTGGTTACTCTTCTCCATTTTAACAAAAAATTTTCTATTTCTAGAAATTGAGAAGCACCACTGTCAACAACCCAACAATCCTGGTTAACAACAGTAGTTGAACTGGATGTAGCTAAATAACAACCCTTCTTGGGTCTAGTATTGTTCCTAACAGACATTTTCTTACTCTTACAATACTTAGCTATAAGCCCTTTAGCCCCACAAGCAAAACAACGTTTTACAAAATAGGCAGTTGAATACATTTTTTCTTCTTTTGGTTGTTGCACTCTCAACTGATCCCTTTCTTGTCTTCTTTTGGATTCTTCCAATAACCTACTGGTTATGCCAGCCAATGTCAGTTCATCTCTGGACAAAACCTCTAACGAAGAAAAATAGTTGTCATAACTATCGTCGAAAGAAGAAAGAATTATATAAACTTGTTGTAGTTCTGAGAAAACAAGTTCCTTTTCATGCAGCTCCTGGAAAATTCTGGTCATGGATACCAAATGAGCCATCATATCTCCACCTTTAAGAAGATGTTTAAATAATCTCCTTGTGAGATAAATATGAGCACCCACAGAGTCACGAACA